ATATATATATATATATATATATATATATATATATATATATATATATATATATATATATATATATATATATATATATAATAGCCATGTGAAAATTTATCTTCTTCTTTTAGACAAAATGGAGGCAGAGACTGCCTTTCTACAATAAAATAGCCCGTCATTTTTTCACAACAGAGTGGATATTCACTCTCAAAATTGAGTTACTCCAAATTAAAATCTAATAAATAACGAGCTATATATAAGAATTGAGATACATATTGAGAAACGAGCTTTATTCACGATAAGTTATTGTTAACTACGTGTAGAAACATTCGATAAAATTGGATCTAAACACTTCGAAATCTTAAATCTTGGAATTTTCTTTGGACCTACGTACCTTTGTCACTATTTTTAGGAGGGAAAAGTACAGAAATAGTCAATTTAAATACAAACTTATCAACCTCTATCTTAAAATTAGACACTCACCAAAAGTAGCCCGAAATTAGAGATACATGCAAGGAAGGATTCTTCCATCCGAGAATCACGCTAAAGATCTTCCTTCCTTCCCTGTTTTTCAAGCGTATCAATTTAACAGATCGTGACATTCTCTCCCTCTGTAAATCACGGCATTCTCTCCCAAAAAATTCTCAAAAGGAGCTCCAAATTTCACTCAAAATCGATCAATTTCACTATACCCTTTCGCGATTTTTGTGTATATACAGCTTTCGCGATTTCTGTGTAGAAGGAACTACGAACTACAATCAAAATCAATCAAGGAATTGGTGAGTTTTGACCTAATTTCAGCTACTTCAATGGAAAATTTACCCATTTTTATTCAGTTTGGTAGCCGATGGAATGCTGCCAATAGCTATGTAGATTACAATGCAGATGCAGTAATAGTTACTCCAAATATAAGTTTTGAAGATTTTGTAGACATGATTTCGAAACAACTTATGTTAGATACTTCATTTAATGTTATTGAAATCAAATAAACTGTCCAAAACGGTTCTCCACCAATAGTGATACACAATAATATGGGTATATGTATATATCTTGGGCTGAAAACAAGGTCGGAATTTACATTGTATCCCCTTTATATAACATAGAGTGCAAAGGATTTGGACATGATCTGCTACAATTCAAATTCTGTTGTGATTTCCTCAGAATATGCACAAAGCTCAGTTATAGAAGAGAGATACAATGGAGATACAATTAATATGATTGAGTTTGGGGATGGAGAAGACTGGCAGGATACAGAATCTGATGAAAATACAATAATAACTTACCCTCAACACATAGATGTAGAAGAAGGTCAAATTTATAAAGACAAAGCTACAATAGTCAAAGTCATGAAGCACTTGGCAATAAAGGAAAAATTTTAGTTTAAGGTGCATAGATCAAGTGAGTATCAAAATATTTACTGTATAATTATGTATCTCAATGTATATCGTAGTTGATGTTAGAAGCATAATTATGTAGAAAATAAGTTGCTGCTTGTAAGTCTGTGGCAGTACACTTTTAAATTGTGGTTTTCACCGTCTAGTACTGTATAGTCGTTATATTTTTTCATCTAGTATTGTTGATGGCAGTGTGTATCACTATATATCATTGTCTTTCATGTCGCTCTATTTATTGATCGAAAAATTTATATCCTTATCGTAGGTACTGCCTAGTATGCATCAACAACAACTGCGATTGGTATTTTAAGTTTTCGAGCCTGAAAAAAAGCAAAACTTTTCAAGGTCAAAAATTTCAGCAAACTGCACTCATGCCCGCTGAAAGACAGATCTTACTCACAATGTCAAGCTACTGCAAAACTCATCGGCAGACTTCTGATAGACAAGTATAAAGACGCAAAAACAATATACACTCATAGTGACATAATTGGAGACATGAACAAGCAGTATGGTCTTCAAATGACATATATGCAAGCATGAAGATCGAAAGAATATGCAGTTCAACTACTGAGAGGGAACCCGAGCGAATCATATGAAAAGCTGCCAAGCTACTTTTATATGCTGGTTCTTACAAATCCTATGTCGGTGGTAAGTTTGAAAAAAATAGAGGAAGACCTGTTCATGTATGCTTTCGTTGCACTATATCCGTCTATAAAAGGATGGCAGTATTGCAAACCGGTTGTTGTTGTAGATGGAACCTTTCTTAAATAAGAATAATAATGTATGTTGTGTGTGTGTGTCTTTATATATATATATATATATATATATATATATATATATATATATATATATATATATATATATATATATATATATATATATATATATATANGTTTATAAAAGGATGGCAGTATTGCAAATCGGTTGTTGTTGTAGATGGAACCTTTCTTAAATCGACATACAAAGGAACATTATTGATAGCATCCACACAAGATGCAAAAGGTAAAAATAAGATATATATATATATATATATATATATATATATTATATATTATTCATGTATATACTCACATATGTTTATATGATTCAATTTATTAGGTAGTATCTTACCACTCGCATATGCCATAGTAGATTTAGAGAATAATGCTTCCTGGGAGTGGTTTTTCGCGAGGTTCAAGGATGCATATGGAGAATGGCAGGGAATGTGCTTAGTCTCGGACATGCATGAAGGCATTGAAAATGCAGCGGCAACATTGTATCCAAAGTACCTCACTGTGTCTCCATATGACATCTATGGAATAACGTAAAAAAAAGATCACAGGAAGAACAATTTGCAGCTCAAAGACATATTCTTTGCTATCGCCAAAACATACACAATTGAGAAGTTTGATTACCAGATGGCAGAGGTAGAGAAAATTGATAAGAGGGTCAATGATTACTTAATGAACGTTGGGTATGAAAGATGGTCCCGAGCACATCCACTATCAACAGAACATTGACAATGACTTCAAACATTGTGGAGTCAATCAATGCAGCGCTTGTCACGACCCAAGTTCTCTCCCTCCGTGAACTGTCGTGACAGCACCTAGTCTCTACGACTAGGTAAGCCTAACAACTTGCGAAAAAAATGAAATAAAGATGCGAAACTAACAATTCACCGGTACCATAATAAAGGAGTTTAAAATGCCGCTTGGCATATACAATAATAACACTCTCAAACTGAACATAACACTCCCAAAATCTGGAGTCTCATGAATCACAAGCTAAAGAGATACATAATATTCTAACTCCAGAAGTCTAAGCGAAGGAAAATACAAGAAGTCTATAACTGAAGGGAGAGTAGAGAAGGACTTCTAGGTCAGCGGACGCGGCAGATATACCTCGAAGCCTCTGGATTGCCTCGCCTCACGGAGAGTATGGCTGAGTAGAAGAATGTGGATCTGCACACGAAAAACATGAACAGGAAAGGGCATGAGTACACCACAGCGGTACCCAGTAAGTGCCAAGCCTAACCTCGGTCGAGTAGTGACGAGATCAGGTCAGGGCCCTACCGGTTTATACATATATAACAAGGTAAGCAGTATGGAATATGGCAGTATAGTTTAAATACTAAAAGTTAATGAAAATTAGAATCACAGAAAGATTAACTCATTACACAAAGATAGCAGCAGGGGATCTCCCAGGATAACGTCCCGTAGTCCCAAACGTAAATGTGCAGGGGAATCTCCAAGAATACCGTTCCGTAGTTCCAAACGTAAATATCTATTACAGGGGGATCTCCCGGGATACCGTCCCATAGTCCCAAATATAGATGTGCAGGGAGGATCTCTCGGAGTATCGTTCCGTAGTCCCAAAGTAAACATGCAAGGGGGATCTTTCGGAATACCGTTCCGTAGTCCCAAAGTAAATACACAACCAACTCAAGAAGGAAATCTACAGTTCTATTCAAGTTCGTATCAAATAAACAGGTAATTTCTACCCTAAACATGCTACACAGAATCCAAGTAAGCAGCTAGAGCAGATAAGACAGTTAAGTCACGTAAGCATGCTTTTCTAAGCTAAACAGGAGGCTTCATGTACTAGTATTGCTCAATTAAAGGTGTGAGCACGTGATTTTTGCCCGACCAAAATACTCCTACAAAATAAAAAAATAGATTTTTGTAGTTTATTTTAAGTTTTATAGAATTTTTAGGAATATTAGTTTAATTATTTGCATTTTAGGTGCATCTTTGCATACATTAAAAGCATAAAAGATACCTGAAAAAATATTCAAGTTTCATGCATTGCATTTATTAGGCTGATATCTGCATTTTAGGTTTAAGTTATTAATTAATTGCATTAATAAACAAAAATAAAAAAGAAAGTAATATATATATATATATATATATATATATATATATATATATAGATATATATATATATATAGATATATATATATAGATATATATAGAATATTTCACATTTTAGCTTTAGTTTTATAAATTAGTACCTTGCTTTCATTAGTATTAAATCAATTAATCATTTTAGTATTAGAAATATATAATTAAGTTAATTTTACATTGCTAGGTTTGGTTTGGGATTTAATTTAGATTTAATTAAGTCTATTGGTATTTAAAAATGGGAAATTAAAAGAAATCAAGTCAATAAAAAAAAGAAAAAAAAATTTGGTTTGGACCCGAAATTGGGCCAAAACTATTTCTGAGCCCAAATCCCTGCCCATCCGCCCCAGCCCAACCCCTTTGCCCGGTCCAGCACCCCTAACTAGCCAAAACGACGCTGTTTTGCGTCGTTCAATCCCAGCCCTTCATTCCCTATGATCTAGCGGACCGGAACTAACACCCCGCCCCCATATAACTGTCCTAACCCCTCCCCCCCAAACCTAGAGACCCCTTCCCATTTTTCCCCTTCTATCTCTCATACCTAAAACCCTAATTTAGCCGCCCCCAAATTCTCTCATTTCATTAGCCGGCTGCGACTACCGTAATCCCTCCAAACCCACCCAAATCCACATCCTATAGCCCTTTTGGTTTCCTTCAAAATACCCTAGAACTCCTCATTTTTTCTGATCTAAAAAACGACCAGAAACGCTAAGCTTTGTTTCCAATAATCTCCGTTGATTTTAACCTATTTTGAGTTAAAACTAATATTAGCTAATGGTTCTTGGCAAAGATCCGTCAATTAATATAACTTTTAATTTATTTTGGAATTACCGAAATCCGGCCGAGCTTCAGAGATCCGTTTCGGAATCGTTCTTCGCTTTTCTCGATGGGTATATTTCTTGTCCTCCTTGCCTTATTTTAGTGTTTTTGTTCATTCTAAGAAAAATTAAAGAAACAGTGTTTATTTTGTTTGTTTAGTTTGTTCAATTGTTGTTCGGATTAGACTTTTCTTTCTTTTTTGATTAATTAACTAGCAAGCTTTTAGGTCATAGCATTAGTTTAATTATGTCTCTGAATTTCTTTGTTCATTTGATTGCTATGTTTGGGTCGCCTATTGGGCTTCTGTTGTCTCTGGTTTGGGCAGAAGAAGCTCACTCATTTGGGCCTGAGTCTTGGGGTCAGATGGCCCATGTTTGGTTTAGTTAGTGAAGTAAATATAGGGGTGTCAAGGGGTTATTTTGGGCATCTTAGGCCTAAGAAATTTTTTCTGTTAGGGGAGAAGCTTCTAGAGGATAAGCTGAGGCTTGTATGCCAAGAAATAAAGACAGCTCAGCTGTTTTTCAGGGACTAGGAGGTAAAATAACTAAGTTCAAAGGGGTAGAAAGGGGAATTAGGAAATCAGGATAAGGTTGCCCTAGAAGTGCCTATATAAGGATCCTTTCCTCACTCATTAGGGCATATTTCAGACCCTAAAAACACTCCAAAAAAGGTTCAGCTACTGTTTTAAATGTAGCTGGTTCTACTTCCACCTGATTTTTTTAGCAAAAAAAAAACTTAGAAAACTTTCTTTGGGATTTCTGATTCGAGCATGGATTAAGCTGAAGATGTGAACTGCTATGATTTGTTGTTGTCCTCTACTTATTTCTTGCTGAATTTCTTACTTCACTCTATTCTTTGCTGTGTCCAGGTACCTCTTGAATTTTGAGTGGCCATTGGAATGCAAGCATGCTTTTCTTTGTTTTCTCTTTGAAAGATATATTTGTAATATGAAATTCATGTTCAGATTTTAAGTTTCAGTTTATCTTTATATGTGTTTCCTCAAATATCTCCTTATATCTAGTGATAGATTAGAGTTGAGTTAGAATTGTTTGATGTAATCGATGGCTAAAACATGCTGTAAATTCACAATGAGAGGATGAACATGAGATCTGACTTTGCGACTTGCAAGGATAACTGAAGGATGAAGTTGTTATTAATGTAATATGTATGACCTGTTGAGTTTCGATTCTTTGTTGTTAGATCTGTGTGCTAAATCTGTATGACACATTAGAGAGTTGTCTTCTAGGTAGATTAATAATCTGTTTGATGTGTGTTTTCTTGTCTTCTTTAGTTTCTGTACATGGATGAGTATTTGAGAGGCTTTCATTGTTTTGGAGCGTTGGGTAAAAGAATGAATCTATGTGCTTGTTTGAAGGCTTATTGTCACTATTAGAATCCAAGATTTACAGGCTTTGAAGCATGTGAATTATAAGTGTTCTGGTACCTGTGATGATTTTCTTTTTTTTACTGCCCGTGTCGCCCTTTTCAAGCCATATTGAGAGAACTTTTGGTAATGTGAGAAGCTAGAGATCCACATGTGATGGGGTATGTTGTTAGGCTCTTAATCTGTTCCGTTGATCGCTACTATGTGAAAATTTCCAAAGTCTGCTTCCTGCTGTCAGTCATCTCATTTAACATTTCCATGTGTTTAGTATTGTAATCTTAATTGATTTTGAAAATTGAATGTTCATTGAGTTTTGGGAACACTGATTATTGTTTTTTGTGTGCTTCTTTCGTGTAATTCTCATTTGGACGAATTTTTTAATGGCTAAAGTGAACTTGGAATTCTGTGTGCAAGGGCTTATTAAGGGATAAAGGCTTTCAGGCTTTAGGATTAATAATTTCTTGATAGAAATTTAAGTTAATAAAGTCAAGCAGATTGATTGGTTGTTCTGATACTCTCGTGAACTAAAGGACCAAAGTCAGTAAGTTTTTTGAATTGGATTGAATGCATGGAAATCCTTAATTATATGAGCAAATCAGATAATGACTCCAACCTTTCTTCCGCCATATATCGCGACTTCCATGAATCACAAA